TTTAATTTATTTTGAAAAAAAAAAAATTTTAACCATAAATTTGTTGTATACTGTATTTCATTTTTTTATAGCTTATTTTTGCTGTGAAAATTGTATATTTGATCTACAAGTTACTTTTTAATTATAAAATTTAGCTAGCCCACACCATATATTGGCTCTCATATATTTAATTGTATAAAATTACTTTTAACATTCTTTACCTACCAATTGCTTTTAAAATTATTAAATGATTCCACCCCATTAGCTTGCAGAATTTATTTGTATAATGTTGCTCTTGTTTGATTAAAACAAAAAAAGTTACTAAAGCTTCAAACAAATATAATTTTTCTGATACCATAACTCAAATTACTTTATATATTTTCCGTAAAAACAACTTTGCCCTTTACCCACATTAGGTTTGCCTCATGGGTCCCGTAAATGGACATGTAATTCTTATAACAGTACCTTTCTGGCTCCCCCCCCCCCCCGAATACCAAGTAGTTGGTGAGAGGAGGGGAGGGGACAAGACCACTCCTCTAATCCTGTATTACTTCTCAAGGTCAGGATTCTGTGAGAGCATCTTGGGCCTCAGCTGCTGTTGTGTTTGAATGTTTGTCAAGTTTGCCGGTAAACAGCTCCCACCCAGCCCTTCCTTGCCCCATGTCCTTTGAGCCCTTTTACCTGTTTGAGGATTTACCAAGGATCATGGATACATGTTGATGCTACAATATTTTGAGAACTTGATAGTTGTAATGATAATGAAACTTATCACTAAAGCACTTGGCTTGAGGGAGAGCTTTAGAAGACCAAAACTGGTGAGTTTGAAAAACTTTCATGTAAATATTAAAAATTTAAATAAGCTTGTGTTTGTTTTTTATAAATAATTAATTTCTTGTTCATTTAGTTTTTTTGTTAAATTTAGCTAGTTAGAAATAATTAATTTTGTCTGTTGTTTCGTGTCTTGTTACATTCAAAATTGTATCTTCAGTAAATTAAAGTACAGTGTACGGCATTTTGTAGGTAATATTTTAACACTTGGTTTTGTTAATAAGTACTTTGTTAAAAAAAAACTTCTCAAGTCATTAAGTTAAATATATTTTAGTTTAAATGAATGTAATGTGTTTAAAATCTATTCCTGTCGCTTTCTTAAACAAATTCATGCTTAGTGTTAAAACTGCTGTAAATAATAGATAAAACAATATGAAAAATGACCAAGTTCAAATTTTTTGACTAAACTTTAAGGAGGATAGGATTTACAATGCAATACTGGTACGTGCTTTTTACTCTGTACTTTTTTTATTTGAGAACTAGGAGGGTTTTAACGATTTCTTCTCAAAGTTCAATTGGTTTTAATTGGACTCAACTATTTGTATTTTAGGCCTAACTCCTCACTTCAAAAGTTAATTTCCCTTCTTTTATAGAAATGAAAATATACAAATTATTTATTTATATATACAATATCCAATATCATATGGATTATCCTCTGACACTGAACACTTTATGTCTCCAGGAGTTTTTTCTTTTTTTTTCTTTGGAAATTTTGATTCCTTATGGTGAATTATCCCATTCATTTTCCCATAGAAACCCATAAAATAACAGAAAAATTTAATTTTGTCAAAAATGTCCTGATGAATTTTGATAGATATTTAGTATGTTATAGCCCTGAACAAAATGGTACAAATCCCATTTCCGTAAAAATTACGGTTAAAAGTTATTATAAATTGTGTTATTTTCCCATTAAAAGAACTATAAAATAACGGAAAATAGGTTTTTTTTTATTAAAAACTGTTTTGATTAAAATTAGTATGTTATGGTCCTTATAACTCTTAACAAAATAGTACAACCCCCATTGCTGTAAAAATTACATTTCAGAAGTCATGACAACTTTTGTGATTTCCCCTATCAAATATCAAAGTTACTCCTCACTGCTTACCCATGATAAAGGTTCTTGACAAGCTAATGGGAGAAATTATGTGTCAGATTGCTGATAGGTACCGTTTATATTAACTAATAACAACTTGAAAATGACAACGGAACATCCATCCATCACTCCATCTAGTTCTAATTCTAAGATTTTTGTCAGAGATAATACCTATTACCTATTACCTATTGTATTAAATTTTAAGTTTACTATCAATCAATCAATTTATCGAGATAGGGACACCACTTTAACCCAAATATGGGTGAAGATTGAGTGTAGAATGGTGTGTGATGTTCTGTGTAGCTTTGTTACTGACTAAGATCAGCTGTTTCATCAGTCAGGATAATTTATTTTAAGCCCAATGAGCAGGGACAGCTGGTTCCAGTTTCAAACTATCAAAAAGCTACTGACTTTTCTGTTTTCTCAGGATCGAACCGGCGACCTTTTGATTGTTAGTCGAGCACCATTTCAGCTACCCAGCCAGTATAAACCATGACTTTTTTGTATTTAATTTCTCAGTTATACTGACTTGATGTGGATTTTTAAATAAAATTTAAAATAAACTTAAAACTTTCAAATTGAATTAGATACCGGTACCGGTACTGTTTGTTGTACAGTGTAGATTGAGTACTATACGTAGTAGTAGTTCCAGTTCTATTTGTAACAAACTAATGTTTACATCAGAATTTCCCTTCCCTTATCAAAACCCAATCTCCTCCAATTGAAGTTCCAAACACACGACATACAGTACCTACTATGTGTTTGTACATGTAGATAACAACCGTGTACCTGGAGTGCTGTTTCACTTGTTCGATGGAGTTTTCCATGTTTTACAATGATTACAAGATTGCGGTTAATGTTAGTGTTTTATTACAAATACCCTGTATTAGTGTTTAGCTAATATTTTGTTTGGATATGCTTGGATTTGGTTTTGTTTGGTAATAAGTGAAGCACTCTGTAAATTAGATTTAAAATATTTGGTGGTTTAAAAAAATCTGTAAATGTTTTAGGTTAGATTTGATTTGAACCCTATTTGGCTGTAGTTAAATGGATGAGTTGTTTTGTTTTTGAAACATTGTTTGGGTTTTTCATCCATAAGCCTCTGAAGTAGTTAGGTTTTCGAAAAAGATTTTTTTGTAGGACCTATACTTAACTAGTGAAAATCCTTTTCTCAATCAATTTTGGTATATGAATATAATTGTAATTAGACTTAAAAGGCTTTTTATGGCCTCTTTTTAGGGATTTTCGTGTTCATGTGGTGATGTTTTGTGGATTCTAGTATTTTGTTTATTGATGTCTGTTTCTTTCACAATCTTATTCAAATTAAATCTTCAGTATGAGAAAAAGCTTCAAAGGTACATCTCCGCTTTGTTAAAAAAAATTGTGAGTTTGAAGTTTTTGTATGGTTGTGAGCTGTAACAAAATTAACTAGCCTACTTAAAATACAGAATGTTAGATGAATACATAATTAACCGATGGTATAATGTATATATGCAGACTTGTTAGTTATGTAATAGCACTTTGAACCCACAAATGTGTTAAAATTTATTAGTTTATCACGTTAGGCTTAACGCTACTGCAAATTATCTTGTACGAAAATTGTTTGACGTCAGAGTGTAGTATTCCTAGATTCATCAGTGTCAAGCTTTAGAAAGGTATTTAAACTGATAGTTATCTATTAAAATCTTCCAAAATTAAGATTCTAAAATTAAATCCGTAAAGTTCCAAAATTGGAAGACACTGAGTAAATATGGCTCATTTCTGGAGCTTCTTGTTTTTTTCTTTGTGAACCAGTTTTTCATATTTGAGAATTGTGGTTTTCCTCTTTTGCTCCGTTTCTTGACAACCCACAACGCATTTGGAATTTTCTAAACTTCCCGTTTTCAATTTTTATTCCAAAATAGTTTTGGATTTTAACGTTCATATCTGTTACTTTGGCAGAATCTTGTTGATAATTTAGTTTATATTTTAACACTTAAACCATTTAAGTTATAGGTAAAAGGGGGAAACTTAGCTTGTACTTTGGAAGACAAAAACTTCCAAATCCGTTCACAATCTGTCTTAAAAAAAAAATGAAATACCAAAACACACTTGTCATTTCCAATATCAGCATTTTGGGCCATCCTTTTAAGAGAAAATGTAAGGCCTCTGTTGGGTCCACACAAGATATATTTACAATACTATAGTCCGTTTGAGGGGAAGTTTGCCCACCACTTTTTTCTGCTTAATGTATTGCAGTTGATTGATGTTTTGACAAATCTCAAGTTGAGCTATGCTTTAGAGGTATGATAAAGAAGTGGAGGGGAGAGATTTCCAGATTTCTTCCCATAAAAATGCCTAAATTTTGTGAACAGTTTAATAGGCAAACCTTTAGGTATAAAGGTAAAAGGCTACCATCCTAAGTTAGATTGATTTTGCTCGAGTAGATTGTGTCCCTAGGTCATATGATGCACTTTTTACTCACCCCATTGCATGCTTCAGTGCTTGTCAAACTTCAGGTACCAGAACTAAATGAACATCAATATCTTGCCTTTGTGCTCTGCTTGAGACTAGTCTCACCGGCCCCAAGGGTGTTTCCTTTTAACCTAAGATTTTAAAAAGTATTTATTTTTTACAAATACTAACTGATGTAAAAATTATGATTAATTCTTAGTCATAGTCAAGTAGAAGCCACAGAGAAGTAAGATACAGAGGAAACATTCAATGGTACACTTAAGTCGTGTCTAGCACCAGTCGCTTGTGTCTAGTGCAAATTCCTTTGGTCGTATCTTCCCGCTCTCCTCCCCCCCTCACCATCACGTACCACACAGCACTTACGCTGTGCAGGAAGAGCCTGTGCACTACAACTGCTGTTGTAAACAATAGCCAATCGGGCTCTTCCCGGCTCGGTACTGGTATATTTCCGCCCCACCATTCCAGAGCTAAAAGTATCTTACTTCTCTTTGATATGTATAATACTAATACTTTGATTTGTCTTAGAAGTTCAGTGTTAATGTATACTTTAATTATGATATTACTTGCAACTTAAACGTTTTCAACATTTAAAAACATAAATTTGATTTGATTTTATTCCAACGGACATTAAATTGTTTTTTTCCAGGAGAGCACGCAGGGCCCGAAGAAGAGGCAGGAAGGCAGGGAGATGCCGGTGCCGGGGGAGGCAGTGAATGGAGCAATGTCTGGTGCCGGAGACAATCTGCCCGACCTCAGCGACTCTTCCGACACCGAGGATGACAGAAACACTGGTGTGTCTAATTAAATATTGTTATGCGTTATCTTATTATATAACCTTCTTATCTCTTTTTAAGACCGGTGATAATTGGTCAAGAAATTATCATCTGGTGTATAAAACAAATTTTAGATAAATATATACTAGGGCTGTTCGGGCAAACTAGTTCAAATCTGAGACCAACGTCCTGTTCTTCACTTCATTGCTGTCATTCCAGCCAGTTTCCACCCATATGCAATGATTATTTTCGTCATAGTATCCACCATGTGAGAGAAAATCAACGCTCTTGTCAAATTTGTCAAATTTGAATCACGTTCTATGATTTGATTTCTGTGAAAAGGAAGTCAACCTCTATTGAAATTAGTTGTTAGTTACCATGTGTCTGCAGAAAAGGGTTTAGGTTTTGAAAACGTCCATAAGTGGCTTTAGGGAGTTCGCAGAATACTGTACACGCTTGAACAACGTGGATAAGTGTTAAATGTGTCCATCAAGACAGTGATTCAAGTTGAGGGTTGATGAAACTTTGCTTGCTGGTTGGCCTATCCAAGACTACCAGGGTATACTTTGTAATCATTTATAGCCCTATTTCCTATCCTATTGACATCTCCTATTACTTTTGACTCACATTGTCATCTACAGGAAATATTCCTCTACCTTTAGTCACTGCCTCAAACGAGACTGATCAGCTGCAGTTTAGCTGCAGTTTTCCTCCAAATAGATTGTATAAATGTACATTTTTACATTAAAACTAAATCTACTAATTAAATGATTTCAACACAGTAAATTTACAATCAGTAGTGTTAAGTATATGCATTTCATAGAATTTATAGAAAGATTTTTTACCAATGTTCCAGTTCCTAAAGAGAGTTCCAGGCTAGATCCAGTGGTTTGTCCGTTGACTCACGAAGGGAAATTGTTGTTGAAGGAGGTCCTTCCAGGAAACGTCAATGATCTTTTTACGCTTCTCTTTACCTTCAACGACTTCAACAAGAATCTCATGGAGTCTATGAAATACACAGGTACTGATCAGGCTTAGTGTTACCTACTAACTATGGAGTTTTCCTCTGTGTGTTATACGATATCATACATAATTTAAATTTAGAGACATACATAAGTACATAAGTAAGTACATGAGTACATAAGTAAATTTAAAGAATAAAAAATTATATCAAACTATGTCCTCCCATTGTGACGCATAGCGGCACGCTATATTTTTTATAGTGTGTGCATTTCGCGAAGCCGGGCTGCATGTTCAACTCGTTGCCTGCCGCGATTGCATCAACGTCTCTCCCCACTTCCCCACCTACGTCGACTCCTCTCCTCCTTCTTGCTGGACAAACCTCCACACTGAAAACAACCCGAAAAACTCCGACCGTCTCTCCCGTCATAAATGGATAAGTTTATTTGTAGTTAGTATGTAGGAATATAAGTTCAAATTATGCTTGGCTAAGTCAGGTAACAAGCGGGGAGCCCTTCTGGTTCGCCCGACCATTGAGATGTAGGAATTTACAACTTAGCCGGTTGGTTGCCCTCTGCAACCAACCATTCGAAACCTGAAAACTAAACCTCATGTTCCCAGAATGTAACTTAATGGGTATAATCAATTCATACATATTTCACATTCAGTATTCAATTTACATATCATTCATTCACTCATCAATATTAGTAAGAAATTATCCAAGTTCAGTTCATAGTTGGAAGGATAGGTTAATACTTAAATAGTTAGTTCAATTAGTGCAAATCAAAGCTGGCTAGGCAAGTGTTCTGATCTGGGTAAAAGGTCTCCGTCCCTCTGGTCCCCAGCAATCTTCCTAATTTTATTGGTAGCAGATTCAGCACGCTTAAATTAAGTTTGGTCCAGACACACCTATTCCTAACCTATTAGCATTACCCTGTTTATTCCCTCCTGATTACCCGAAATCCCACCGATCTCCCTCCCCTATACCATACCATAACCCCCTTATCACCTCACCAAACGGCCCCCGGCTACACCATTGCAAACGCAAGGCTTGAGTATAACAACTGCAATAAGCATTTTATACTTATATGCCAACCCCGTACGAAGGACGGGTACTCTGCTAGTGATGTATAAATAAGAAGAAACTACTAAACAGCTCTCAGTTCCCAGAGGTCTTTGTGTCATTAGGGTTGTGGTTGTGCCACCACAAAGTTTTCAACCACCATTACAATTTACCTTTCTCAAAACTTTCATAGCTTAGAATTTATTCTCAGACATTTATCTAAAAGTTTCTATTAGGTCAAATAGTATAGGTATGTTTAAATAAATGTGTGTTAAAGATTGTAATCTTTTCAACACTCCAAACATCTGTTTCAGATATAAATGTTGCGGATTGGGAGGAAAACTCAGACACAGCCCTGAAGATGCGGATCATCACGTTGACTGTGCCAGTACATCAGCCTGTTGGACCAAAAACATGCAAAGTCACCGAAACACAGGTACAGTAGACCTTAAAGACTTTAAGTTGTATGTTTTGTGGCCTCACTGATTCCTCATCAATTCTATTTTGTCTTCTGTTGTGAGAAGTGTAGTCCCAAGTCATTGTGCTGCAACAAAGCAAACTTTTTCTTTTCACCCTATTCCTGGTCTGCCAAGTGGTCTTTTTCCTTCTGTGTTTCCAAAGTAGACCCTCTTATCTTGATCATTGAAAGATTAATTTTCTTTGCTCACCACAATCATGCCCAATTCAATCTATAAGCCATTGTCACAATACCTCGGGTTGTATTTACATTCTTAACTCTCAGTTATTCCTGAACCTCCTTACATCCTGATCGAGCAAGGGAAGAATTTTAAGTCCAGTAATAATTAGTACTAAGTTGGTATGGACAAAATTGGATTTTTAGTGTGAGACGAGACAAGATAGAATTTTTATTTCTTATAAAATTTTGAGACGAGATCAAGACGGGATTTCCCTTCTCATACATAACAGGAAATGCATGTTCGACATTATAGCTTGATTTTGTAATATTGTTAAATAAATACCTACTGATTTACGACAGATGACCGGTTGAATACAAAAACTATAATAATCGGCAAGAATAATTAAAATCTTTTAATTAAAAACATCAGTACTGTATAAAAAACAAATATTAATTAGGCGTATTTTGATTTAAAATAACTGTTACGCTTAGGAAACATGCTGATATCAGTTAGGATATAGTTCAACTATGAAATCTAACAAATTTGTCAGTCTGAAGCATCAGTCGTACTAGTTAAGTGTTAAATTACAATAGTAGAACTTTTAAAAATACCGAATTCACCAGTCTAAAACATCATTCTTACTAATTAAGTATCAAGTAACAATTTTTTGTCTTGTGTTATTTTTAGAATTATTTTGGAGTGACTTGTTTTGGCTATGTTTACAGTAGTAAACATGTCTCATGACTCACACTGCTTACATTTAACAAAACTACTTCTCAAGATTTGCGATACCAAAACAAAAAATTACAAAACAACTAAAGCAATATTTACATGTGAAGAATTAATTAAATAAGAACGCCTTCGCAAAGGAAACACAACAACAGCCCGCTCCGTGTATTGCGGGTATTGCATTGACTTTTTCTAGCCTATCTAACTGTTTTTTTTATGTATAATCTCGTCTCAAAAAAATCTCAATTAAAATTAAACATTGTCTTGTAGAACAAGATTTAAAATTTCCCGAAAATTTCTAGACCAGTCTATCCATAGTACTAAGTATTGTGTTGCTAAATTAGTACCATATTGGTGGTATGTTTTGCACACTAATATTTAAATATCTGTCATGTACAGGTGATGCAGGCGTGTAGTCGGCCGGGAGAGTTGTACGTAATCGAGGTGGAAGCAGTCAACTCTGGCGTCCCTTACTGTGACTCATTCTATGTCGCTACTCACTACTGCCTTACGTGGACCTCGGAAAGTGAAACTACATTCACTGTCCACTGCCAGCTCAAGTATCGCAAGAGTGTCTGGGGCTTTGTTAAAGGTGACTTAACCAAGTTTACTATGGTTTCTTTGTTTACAGTTTTCTAAGGTTGCCTTTTTCAACCTCAAATGTAACTGTGTCTCCAAAAAAGGTATGGGTTCTGTTTTGCTGTGTAGTTAAAATTTTTAGTCTTCAAAAGATGTTTTGAAAACTCTGACCTAAGTGTAAAAACATTAGTAACAATTAACAACCGATCAAAACTTTCTCCATTAATCTAAATGGAGCGCTAGTAAATGTTTTGAGCCTATTATAAAAGTTATCAATGTGTAATTTGCCATGTGTCCTGTAACACATAAAATTTAAAAATCGAGAACCATTGGATCTGTTATCACAAATGTATCTCTAGCTTTTGAATGCAAGTTGTTGCTTCCTCTGGGTTGTGGATTCGCACTAACTCACCTAGTAATGTGTGTTAAGAACAATTGTTCATTAAATTGTTCATTTCCTGAGTTTGTCCCCTGACTGATCTGGAACCAGTCCCCATTTCATTTTCAAAGATGCACCTACCCAAACTTTTAAAAGCCCAATCATCAAAGAGGAGCCAAATGCCACCTACTGCTGTTGTTAAGGTCTTGTTTCTGCGTATTGACTTATTTCAAGATGTTTCCAAGGTTGTAGCGAGCAACAATTGATACACTTTTAGTGGATGAGCATTCCTATATATATGAAATGACATGAATGGGAATTGGTTTGAAGTTGTCTTCAATTGTGAACTCCATTAGTTATGTTTAACGTTATAGCATTTATTTTCTATAATTTTCATGGTTTTTTTGTCACTAAAGTCTCTTTTGACTTAAAATTGTAAATTTTTTAAACTTTAAATTTATCTATTTATCTTTGCATGCTAATGATGGAAATAATTATTACAGGTTTCATCGAGAAGAACGTGTGGGCCGGGCTGGAGGAGTTTTACGAAGCATTGAGAAGTGCGTTAATCACACAGTGTGCCAAGAAGGAACCATTGGCCGAGATAGAGGAAATCAAGGTCCAGAAGGTAGAAGCAGTCACACGGAGTGCACCAATGTTGCATGCTGAGCCGAAAGTGGTCGGCAGTACATCAGCACCGCCTCCTGCGTTCTCTCTAACCAACGACTTGACTCTGTGGGCAATACTGGGCGTGCTAACCGTACTGCTGCTGCTCAACGCAGTCCTCTACTACAAACTGTCCGTGTTGGAAGATTACGATAGAGAGTCGACGCTATCGTCAGTCATCGACTCGCAGATTTTAAGGTAGAAATGTGTAAGGAAAATTGATTAGTTTCAGTCGAACTTGGTCATTTACATATTCGCTTGTATGCCTGTACATACTAATAATTATTGTTATTGCTAGTCTTAGTCTAGCCTTAGTCCCTAACAAGACTACAAGATTGCGCCACTCATCGCCATTTCTTGGCTTAAAATACCTACATTCGTATGGTCCTAACTTCTCCCTGTAAAATATGTTGAATATGTATTCCTTTAATGTAAAAATACATTGCGTACTGTCGGGTACGTGGCTGTTGGTTTTGGTAAAGAAAGACCAATGTTTCTAACCTAATACAGTAACTCTTTTTGAAGCAGAATGCTAAGCTTAAATAATCCTCTTTTGAAATTTTGTGCTAGCTATGAATAAATAAGGTTGTGAAGAGTTGTCATAAAAGATGATAGAAGAAGAAATAGTGAAAGACTCAAAAAATATTTTAAACACATTTTAACATAAAAAAAAAAAACTCAGAGGCTAGGAGTCAAAATCATTCTTACTTAAACTAAATTTGCAGAAGAGCATTTTTCTGTTGTAAAGATTCATCTATACAAAAGTTAAATGTATTTTCCGTAATTTCTCTGTTTTCTCTGTAATTTCTCTGTTAAATTAAAAGGTTAGTGAACTGTAAAGGATAAGGAACTAAGAACTAAGCCAATTACCAAAGACTGATTAGATCAGCTTAGTTGTAGTTATATAGTACACTAATAGTTATTTGCTATTATGTTGGTAGTAGAGAGAGGTCACATGACCAGTGGGTGGCACTACTGAGGTCCCAGGCTGTCCAACATTACAAAGGGGTTCAGCAGTGGAGAACTGCGTTGAAATCAATTGTCTCCTTGCTTAAACAGGTATGTTGATGAGAATCTTGCAGTGCTAGCTTATCACAATCTGGATTGTTCATAGTTTTTATCATGCCTATGTTTTCATAATTTTCCCTCTCAACTCATGAGAACATGAAATTCTTATTAACTGGTACACTACCTACAGTCAGCGGTCACACTCCTCTGTATGTAGAGCAGGGTTTCCACTTTAGGTTAGGGAAAAATCGGGACATGGCCCCCCTCCCTCCTCAGTATCATAGGCTTAAATACGGGCAAAAGGAACCAAAACCGGGACTGTCCCAACAGAATCGGGAGGGGTGGCAACCCTGATATAGTCTCCTGTCACCCAGTAATGAAGGAGTTAAACAAGTTTTCAGTAGACACACACACAGAGTAGGAAAAGGAAAAAGTTATTGTGAAATGTTCTAATTTGAAAATATAAAATAACCCACATACTATACTATCCTGTAAACTTCATCTGATCTATTCACGATCGGTTGCAGATCCACAGGGGTGAATGGTAAATAAGAAGGGAGAAATTCCCCCCCCCCTCCACAATCCTTAACAAACCAATAAAAAAATTCTTATCGTGTAACTGATAAGGCTTACAGGAGAATTCATGAGTTTGATTATGTTTGATCTGCTGCACTCCTGTTTGGGTTGACACCTTAGACCACTCTAATAATCTTCGGAACTTACAGCCTACTGCACGTAGAAATATACAATACTGGTAAACTCAAAGCTTGGCCAAAGATATTTCTAATCGTTGCACCATACTCTCGGATAGAGCATAATATGTTCGGTACTTCTTTCACAAATTTCTTTGAGTTATTCTACAATTAATAGCTAGTGAACGTTAAGTAGTTTATTCTTAATAGCAAATGTATTTAGGGGTTAAACGATTAAAGACTGTACTAAGCCTTTTATCTAATACACGTATATTTTTTCCAGGCTGAAGACTCCATAACTGATCTCCACTCTAGTATTCATTCTGCTGTAAACGAGAGAGTGTTAGAAGCACTGAAGCCACTTTCAAGTTTAGATGATATCGTATTATCAAATAAGCGTAATGAACTGTGATTATTTATCGGTTGTAATAAATTATTAATTGTTTTAGCCCTAATATGTTCATAGGAAAATTTTTATATTTGCACATACAAATGCACCCCAAAAAATGAGTTTGAAACTGTAAATAATTTATATTTTGTAAATAAGATTTATTCTCAGCACTGTTGTGTTGCATTAAAAGACTATATTTGCACTGTTGTTCTGAAGCATTATCCTTTGTTTCTATCTAAAATTGATATGGGTTTGAACCGCTTTTCATTAAAAGTGTTTGGGGTAACTTATTAAAAATGCCACTGATGTAGATTCTAACAAAAACAGCATGCCCAGGTTAATATATTTACTAGGGGATGACTGGATAATCTTACCTGCTGGACCCCATGGACCAACCAACTGTAATATTGACAATATTGTCAAAACCTGCTGCATAGCATGTCATAACAATATTGTCCCAACTACACTTCTCAGTTCATGACTCCAGAACCTGTCCCTGAGCCTTTATTGACAGGTTCTTCCAGTTCATCTCATACCTTTCACCGCTCCACATCAGGAGTATGACTAGACTGGATGACCAATGAGACTGAGGAGTGAGGATGAGATCTTGTGTGTATGTAGGCTACACATCAGTCTGGATGCACGCTGGTCCTTACTGCTATGTAAAAATCCTCGCACACATTGAAGCCTTGGCTGGTCACCCCAAGGGACACAGGGACGACATTGCTATTTGCTGTTATGTTCAGTATTAGCACTATACACAGTATATTTGCTGTCATCGTGTGTTGCATTTACTGTTAGTAATGTGCAAGTGATCCACTTCTACTAAGGTAGTGTGTGGAAGATAGGTAAGAGATCCACCAAATGACCAAATGTACTATGATCAACGTTTTGTGAATGACCAGGATGGTTTCTCAATGTTTTGTATAAACATGAAACTCACCAAAGGGTAAATTTCCCTTTCCACGTTCATTAGGATTAACAGCAAATTCCACGGTCATCATAAAATATAAAAAAAAAACACTTAGCAGCCATACATTCGATCAACAACACTTCATTGAGTTATGAAAACATGCAAATAAACGAGTAAGAGCAGAGGGTTGTATGCCCTTCTCATTCCGGCCAGGTACACTCTGTACTCATCTAGTAAATGAGTTAAGCTACTACTCTGGTTACCAGCGTCCTGTCAGAACAATGAATGTATACGTTGGTTGCAAATCTCCGTAAAACAAATTTAGTTAATTTAATTTATATGTGTTATAAGATCTGCATTTTTTACTAACTTTTTTTACTGCATTTTAAGATTTACATTTTAGGATTCAACTGCCATTAAAAAAATCCCCTCTATTTATTTCAAGGTCATAAGCATGACATTAAACTGCTGGTTTCTATAGTTTTTGAGTGAGGCTGACTCTTGGTTACTTTCTTTATTAAAAACTGTAAACCAGGTGTATTTATGATGGTCTTACCCATGCTAAATTTGGCAATTTAGGTTTAATACTCTCCAGCAGCTTCCTCCACCAGTGCAAGACAAAATCAGACCCACATAATGCCTGTTCAAATTTTTTTATTCAATTTAACATGAGCGTTATTCATTTGAATTTCTATAATCAATGGTTTGAAACTGGACCCAGACGTCCTTAATCGTTGGGTATTATCATTGACTATACACAGAATACACTATTTCTGTGTATAGTCAATGGTATTATCAAGTGGTTGTAGCTAAAGAACCAGCTGATGCTGAAATTATTCGGCAAAAACGCGAACCCATCCATTCAATAGATAATCATCATCTCACTAGAGTTCTTCTACAGACTATTATTTGCATCATGATGTGCCATTTGACGTCACTAACTGCTGACGTCACTTTGAGGGAACACTATTACCGCAACGATACGGGGGGATGCGGAATACTATCCCCCAGAAAACTACCACCCCGGGTGAAACGTGACGTCACAAAATCTGCTAACTAACCAATATGGAAGCCGTGTCCGCGACTGGAATATTACCCCCCCTAGACAAATCATGCTATGTAATTTTAATTTGAATTCCAGTAATTCCATTGGATAATAGAAAAGGCATGTGGTGAATATAAAGCAGATTTTCGAAATGTTACAGCAAGTTTGGTTGGTTAAGTTAGGTTAGATTAGAACTTTTTGACAACTAAATTTGAGTGTCCGTGACTGGAAAACTGCCCCCCCCCCCGGTCTCTGACGTCAATATGACGTAGGAACCTGCTTGGGGGGGTAGTTTTCCGGGGGGCAGTCTTCCGGCGACCCCGGGGTCGCCGGAAGACTGCCCCCCGGAAAACTGATACTGAGCCATCAGCCTCTGTGGTGTAGTGGCTAGCGTGTCGGGCTGCTAACCCGAATGTACCGGGTTCGAATCCCTCTGCTGGCATTAATTTTTTGTCAACATTTTTTTCATATCAGCAAGTTTGGTTGGTTTGGTTAGGTTATGACAGTTTAATTTTATAATTAAAAATTAAATTAAATCAAATTAAATTAAAAAAAATATATAAAATTGAATTTTAGGCATTTATAATTTTATTTTATGAACAAAACTATTTTTTAGATTAGTAAACCTTCATTCGATTTTTCCATTATCACCACGTTTGGTTAGGTTATGACAGTTTAATTTAATAATAGAAAAATTATAAAATTGTCTGTTTCTTCAGACGCAGCAGTTAGCAACGTCAAACGGCACCTGAGAAATATTCCGTGTGCCCCACCGTGTTCCTGTTGGCTGGTCGGCGTCAGAATGCTAATCTATTTAAGCCTTAAAATAGACCTACGATGAGGGGCCGTCCAATTATTACGTGTAACGCGTTTTTCGTCATTTTTATACTGCACTTGTGACGCTGCATAACGCAATTGCCTAAACCCCCCCCTCCCTGTAACGTAACGCTGTCAGTTATTTTCTTAAACAAGAGGTTATAAAAAGCTCAAATTGACGTAGTGATCAGCTTTGTAATCCGATTTGTACAAATTCAGATTGAGCTAAATTTTGGTGGATCGCTTAAGCCATTCAGGAGGAGTAGTTTAATTTGAAATCAAAAGCAGGACTGTAAAGAGCGTCACTCAATAAATCATTAAGAACAAACTTTTCAGTTTATAGTTGGCCACGCAATACCAATGACTACATATTCTCCCCATGTGTAATCAAAAGACAATATCTACACAGATTAAAGACAACAATAAAGATAAAATCTGCAATTAATTGTATACTTAATTAACACTTGTGATTGTTGTTTAGGTGTCTGTAGCACGTTTGAAAAATATTTACTTTACGGTAATTTAGCAGTAAAAAATTGAGATTGTCTTATTTGCCATCATATTCATCACAAGGTATTTGACCTCTATGACTGAAAGATCAAAGATTTATCTATGATCAAAGTTAAAACCATAATACTCCCTTGTGTTGGTTAGTCTATGATAATTAAAACATGCGTTGCGTTAGTGCTTGGCCTGTGATCAAACCTAGGAGTTGGTGAATGGTTACCCGTTTTGGAACTAAAATATCAGTTCCAGACCAAAAATAAGAAGCAAATGTGCCGTGATATTAAATACTTTTACCAAAAAGGCTGGTCTTAAATAATTTTATTTATTTTCGTATTTTGAAAAAAATCATAATGCGTTACCAATAGTGGTTACCGTAACGATCTTGCCCCCCCCCCCCGCGTAGCAGAACCATAGATAAAACATAATCCTAGTTTTATCCATGATAAATTGATAAAACATAAATTTAGTTATGAATTTAATTTAGTTAAACATTTTTAAGTTAGTTAATGACAGAAACCCCACGCCTCATTTGAGCGTTACTTAATATGTGGGCGGCCCCATAACCATAGATTCCCTATAAAACATATTACCCTATAATAGTGAGATGGAGTATGTTTTATCCATGGTACCTGTACTTTGTAAAAATACAATTTTTAAGTTATCTTCTGAAATATGAATTCACAGATAGTTTGATAATCATCATTCAAGGTGTGGTTTTTGGTTGAAAAATCTGTTTAGACCTAGTTATAAAAAGTCTTTTGTATAGTACGACATGCTTGCATAGGACTTGTTATTCTTAGACGCCTTATTGATAAGGCAGTGTATGCCACACTTCCGTCTACGACTCTTTTTGCCGTCTCTGCGGTTATGTCGTAGGTCTTTCTGTGAGCGCATGGTGAAATACTAGGTAAGAATTCTAATGTTTTATCTTTAATTTTCTGATATTTTACTTCTATAGCCTTTCTATTATGTTCAGAAAACTGTTATTAATCATAATTTTCATAATTGCTATTTGCAATCAGAGTCAGACTTGATGTAAAGTTAAGCTCATGCTGGAGATGCAAAGTTGTTGAAGCCGAGATGTTTGTAATTCGGGCATTTGACGATGTGGTAGTATGGTAGTAGATTTGCGACGTTTATTATGATTGTATATTGTAAACATTCGCTGTAAGGGAACGGTCTTTTACGGTCTTATATCAAACTTGTAACTTAGTTTTAATGTTCAAGAACTAGGCCTATGCCTAAGTTATTCTATCACATGTCAAAATAGGCCTAGCTGCTTAATGTAACTAAACATTAACTTGGTTACTAGTATGTGGCCCAAAGCATTTATACTTAAAGTAATGAACTAAAACATTCACCTCCTCATTTATCAAGCTTTACACTTGAAGGTAGGATGCTCCATCTCTGATCTAGGCCTACTAGGCCTATTTTCATTACAACTTTTTGAAGTAAGTTAGGCTAGGCCTTACCTACACAATTTCTTATGTCACTTAACTTAATTGGTTTTGTGAATTCACTGGATGTTAGAATATGTAGTTATAGGCATGTAGGTACTTGCTCTCTAAGTGAGGACGTTATTATATAAATGAATGTTCAAGACCGACCGAAGGGGCGCCGCGGCTGAGGGGGCTTCTCACCGTGGTTATTTGTATTAACATAGTATTACAAATATGCAAATTCGACTATTACTAAATTAAGGGGAAGAAGGGGGTGCCACGACCACGTTTGCTCCGGGCGCCGCCAACCCTAGGGTCGGCCCTGTCTATGTTTACTCCATTGGCCTACTTATGTTAGATCTAAATTCTTTTGAGGCTAAGTTAGGCCATACTCAGTCTAGGTTTCTTTAGACAAATGCCTACCTAGGGCTGATCATAACTGCTGTTCACAAATTTTTTTTAAGTTATTTAACTTTAAGTACGGTAACTAGTTTCAATGTTGATAATTATTAAGGGGTGGACTTTCATTATTAGGACTCCTAAAGTCTGAATCAAAATATCGTAATGTTTTGAACTTAAGTTAATAAACACTAACGATAGGCCTGTTAATAAACACTAACGATAGGCCTATTATTCGATATAGGCCTATCTAGTATTTCATTTGGTTAGTTAGGTGATATTGAAATAAATAATGGTAGCCGTATGTACTTTGGTAGCCTATTATCCGGAGGCCACCTTTAGGCTATAGGCCTACAGCGTGCTGCTGCGGATATGTTAGGCTGGGTTATCATAAATGGAAAGAACATACGTTAGTTGACTTAGGTACTGTCCATATTTGACATGATTAACTTAGTTACATTTAGCAGCCTTTGAGTTCTGCCTTCTAGAATACAGTGATGTCGGCGAGGATTGAGTTAAATGCGTTGCCGCCACTAGCTGCCACACCATATACAGGTGATGCGCACGCTCTGGTCAACGACTTCACCTTGGCCTACTTGGAGGGGATTTGGCGTGCGAAAGTATGACTCATCTGGCATTAATTTGATACATAATAATTCGAGGAACGTCCTACAAACATATTTATGATACCAATCTAATATTACTGCAGCGCGCTGCATAAGGGTGGCCTCCAGGTTTAACCAAAGTACCGTACCGTAATGATTGATATAACTTATCGAAAATTTGATATTCATTTGGTAGGGCTATTTTGGAGTCCTGCTTATAAAAGTTTACCCGTGGAAACTGTTTTAACTTCCTAGAAATAAATTTAAATGGTGTTTAATTCTAATGGTTCCAACCAACAAAACTTTTTATTAGGCCTGTACTCTAAAGTGGTTTGGATATTAGTGTGTACGAGTCTTAATACATCGCAACATTCTTATTAAGTTTTTCTATGGGTTCTATCGGCTAACTTTCTCGTCGAAATGAATGAAACTGAGCTGCACCCACGGAGAGATACCATGGAATGTTTCCTCTTTGTCAACTTCTCTGTGACTTCACGCCTACCTGTGTTATTGTTAGTTTCGTTTTGCATCTATTTAGTTTTTTTTTTTTTTTAATTTTAGGTATCTACAGTAGCCTGTTTACTTTCACTGCAGCCTATATATGTGCTTATGGATGTATTCACTGTACATTCACTGTTTTACTGTATTTCTTGTATTGACGCTGTGATGCAAAATTCTAGGGGGGAATAAACTAGTATTTACCAGAGTCAGGCTAGGCCTACCCCTAGAACCAGCACCACTCAAATTTCTTCCCAGGAGTGCTCAGAAGGAGCCGAGAAAAATCCAGGGGTTGATACGAAGTTGTCACGGCTTTGACTGATCAATTTACAGTAGAACCCCTCATATCCAGCCACCACGGGACCAAGCCCCTGGCCGGATAACGATTTGGCCGGATAAACCAACCTACTATGAAAATGACCATTGATCTAATAATATTATCTAATCAATATATGCAGTCAAAAGTATCATTCAAGTCTGTTCTGGGATTATTTTTAGAAGAATAAACATGTTTATAACTTAAAAAAAAAAATTATTTGTAAGCTAAAGTCGTTAAGTAATGATAGTACAAATACTATGATTCCAGGTAGGCCTACAAAAAATATTAAACAATAATGGAGGTAAAATGACAATGAATTGGACTTGAAGATCATTAGGACTTAAATGGTATATGCCTTTTTTAGTTACTTAACTTTCTTATCCACTTAGTGAAATACAAAAATTAATGTACCAGTACGGTACTGTACTGTACTAACCCCACTTTGGAAAATAATCAACCAACTGTTCAGAGGTTAGGCCTACTAGCTCAACTGAGTATAGTGACACAGTAAATAAATTATAAGGGTCATTTTCAAATTGAATGCAACTTTCAAGTTAAGAGTGGATTAAATAAAAACTTTGCTAGAGCCCCTTTGTTTTTACAAACAACATTTCAACATATATTAATAAACACTACCTAATAGAAATTTTTTCAGTTTATCCAGTAATTTATGATTTTTTACTGTTTTTTAGCGAATTTCCCATATAGGGAATAAGCTATTACCGTAGTACTCACGGTAAGACCTGGACCCGGGACCGATTTTTTTGTTCGTTTTGAGGTCCCTAGAGGCCAAAAACACCATCTGTTCAAATTCATATATATATATATTTATATATATATGTATATGTGTCCGTTAGCGCGATAACTCGAGCAAAAATGATCCGATTTTGATGAAATTTGGTACAAATGTGTAAACCTACGTTTATTCGAACGAGTTCGCGAACCAGCATGATCGGACCATGGGAACGGGGGTTTATGGGGGCTTTTATGGGGTAAAAATGGGTTTTTCCCATTTTTGACCCGAAAAACATAAAATTTTGCAATTTCTTTCTAAACTATTTTGTAGAGCTTAAAAAACAAATTATTTAGTATATTGAAGCGTTATAATGCACCAAATGGTTACGGAGAAAATTCCAAAAAATTGTTAATTTTAAATTCCCATGTTATTCTTATGGAGAGTAAGTAAACTGTTGTAGTTTGCTTGTTTATAAACATATTTTGCCCAAATTTGGAAAATGTTTTTATTTCTTAGTAACTATTAACATTTTACATAAAAAACACTTTTACCCTCCCTGTTGCAGCAAACCTAAGTATGTGTAAAACTGATTCTATTTAAATAGGGAATAAATGTGATATTTTGAAGGAGGCATTTTAGTGTAAATCCATTCAGGGAAATGGAAATTCGCTTAGTCTGCAGGTTTGCTGCGGCGGGGGTATTATTGGGTAATACCCTTAAAATGTCACGAGTGTTACTGTAATAAGATTATGGAAAAAACTGTTTCTTTGAATAAAAAGATTTTATACTGGAACAAAATGGTGTCATAAATAACTTACTAGACCTTATAATATATTGTTTTTAGAATTTTTTTTATTTTATTTTTTGTTATTAACCTTTTATGTGTCAGGAGTGTTACCCGACAGCAGAAAAGAAACTATATTTTTTAATTTACTCAACATAACCAAGAAAATTTCAATCGATTTTGTTGTTAGTGTGTATTGATATCTTTCCTTAATATAAACAAACGACTAAATATACAAACTTAGAGTTTTCTATACTAGTTTTTATTATTTTTATATTCAGTAACATTCATGACTGTAGGTAACACTCATGACAATAAGTAACACTCCTGAATTATACATTGGGAATTCAATAAAATAAAGCCAGTTTTTAATTATAAAAGTGTATTTTCTAACAAAAAAAGTACATAGGCCTATATAAAAGTTTATATTCAGTTATATTATTTTTATATTCAGTAACATTCATGACTGTAGGTAACACTCCTGACTAGTGTTACTATTCAATTATAAAAGTGGACTCTGGGTAAAGACCAGAATTTGGAGGTTAGGTTTACATTCATAGTACATCAACACTAAACAACTGATATTAAGTAAACTTTTCTAAAGTATGCATATCACTTTAAAAAAATAGTAACACTCTTGACAATGAATTAAAATACTTACCATTATTAAAACATATTCTTGATGTATTCTGGTTTTCTTCTAACTTAAATCATAAACTTCCACATTGCTGGAAACTAGAAACAATATGGCTGCTTAATGCCAACAAAACAAAACAAAATTTCCCTTTTTCCCTGTTTTCATTGGGTAGCATTCCTGAAGTAACACTCAGGACCGATTGTGGGGGACAGTTGTTCAAAAATTGTTATAAAAAAATATATGCATATTAAAATTGAATTTTGCTATCAATGTTTCTTTATGGTTAAAATACTTCATTATTAATAAGGTATTTTACATTATATACTTGCTGCAAACAGCTTAATTAAAAGTTATATCGTTAAGTTCATGTTAAAGGACAGTAGAAAACAATGACTTACCTAGATTCAAAATTTTATATAAAAGAAATTATGACTCAAAAATCAATGACAATTCAAAAGTGTGTTCTTATATATGTGTTTCTTCACTCAATACTTTTTTTTAACTAAAATTGTTAAGATATATATATTTTTTTAATCCTAAAAGGTTTAGGACTGTAAAGTTGCATCCAGTTTGAAAATGACCCATAAACAAACAGATAAATAGTGAGAACAATTCATTTTATGACTTGAGTAAACGCAAAGACTAGTGCTTGCATCTTGCATCTAAATGTCTGTAAGATGCGAGAAAAACATTTTCTTATTGGCTTCCTGGAAGGGGCCGGATAAACAGAGGACCGGTAAAACCAAGGCCGGATATGAGGGGTTCTACTGTATTAAAATTTAATCGAAGGCTCAGAGCTCTAGAAGCGCTCAGGAAATCCTGCAGACGCCCAGTTGGAGCTATATATCATCCTAGCCTTTGTTAACGTGTTTTGGTAAATTTTGCCTAGCTTTTAGATTGACTCTGTAGGGCCGATGAGTATTCCTTAAGCCAATGTGATATAAATAGCCGTTTTAAACTGCAAACTATCTGGCTAAAGACGTTGGTAAATAATATAAAATTGAATATAATGTAAAAGAGCAATTCCTACAGAGTTGTCGGGGCCTAATGAATATAATTGAATGGAGAATTTAACGTGATAGGTTTAAAATAAATTTAATACTAATATTCGTAGCTGTTTGATTGTTCGGAAACACGCCCAGCACTAGGTTCTCTCGCCTGCCAAAGATGGGGTTTAGAACTCAACGACAAGTCTCGGGGTAGGGTATTACAACGGCGAATTAATTAACTAAATATACGTAGGCCTAATAATTAATCATTGAACGTACGGAACAAACGTAATTAAATTTCGTAGCTAATTGATTTAAACAAACCGAAAGATATCCACCGCTAGTCACTGGCAGGCAGGAACTGGCGGGTCAAGACTCAAGTCGACGGAAACTAAGTTATTAAAATTAAGTTATTTAAAATCGAATTTTGGAACAAAAATAGTCGTAAAACGAGAATGCTTGTGTTGAACAAAAATAAAATAAAACGTAAAAAGGCCTAACTAGTATAGCCTATATCTAACCTTCGAAGACGGTACTTCGAACGAATAATCCTGTCTTTGAGTAAAATCATTCGTTCCTGCCCGCTCGAGGCTTGCGCGCTCAAGCGGCGAACTTAAGTACTACTAGACAACAGCTGATCGCAAATTCACTTGCACTTGTTGATCTGGTCTAGTTTTCGTCTGTCAACAAACAAACACCAGTTTGGGGTTATGTCGTCGTCGGTGTTAAATACTCGTAAAATCGGTCAGTTTAACTTTATTTGGTGACATGGAGTGCTATTACGGATAAATATGTTAGTTGTGGGTGTGTGTATGTACTTCTCTGTGATTAAAAATAGGCCTACGTTCTTTGGCCTATAGCCCAAGCTATGGCCAACTCATAGGCCTAAGAGTAGGCTATTGTGGATAAAAATCGTGTAAGTTCTGGTGTTCATTTATTTGCAGTAGGCCTACGGTACGTTTTTACCCCCCTTAAAATTTGGTAACCTTAAAAACAAGGCTAAAATCATCGGCGCTAAAACCATCCAATGTTGTTGAACCAAAGATTTTTAAAACTAGTTTTATATTTAAACACAAGCAATATGTTATGTGTAAAATTATTCATTGTGATTATTCATTTCAGCACATGGTATCTTTTCTTGCATGTTCTTAGTGATGCAGTTTTGATCAGATTATCTAATAGGTTTAAGTTAACAAACCACATGGTGGTACTGTAAAAGGCTTTTAAAAGTTATTAATACTTAGTTAACTGCCAGTTCTGAAGCGTGTATTATGCCTATTGTATGTCTTGTTAATTTTGTAGGTCCTATTGTACTGTTCATGAAACATCCAGGTTATATAAAAGTTGGGATGCTGTTTAACCAGTCATTCAGTTTTACTTATCCCATCATCAAAAGAAGATAATAGTTAAATCAGGTGAGGTTCTTTAAACTATAGGCCTAACTAGTTTGTAGACAATAATTTACCCTCAACTCCTTAACTTAGACTCTAGGCTTATTTAAACCAGTTCCCTAAAGTTTTTGTGGCGTAGCCAGTTCTACTTCTTATTTATTTTACTTGTAATTTTAGAGTAACACAATTCACAATTCCAGAGACCTTGTTTTACTTTGATACCAATTATTCAATATAGCTAGGAACAAGGTTATCTTGTAAACCTTTCATGCTCTTAGAATTTGAGAGCTAGGCTACATAAGATAACAATATTCTTATGACTAAAGCCAATTTTGTATGCTACATTTATGTTAAGTCCAAGAAGTACGGTTAGATTGCAAGTTCTTGTATTAACATTGTAATTTGTGACCGATTAAATAGTAATAAAAATAACCTGAACCTATTAACTAATATGATCAAAACTGCCTGGTCTTTTTATTAGTCAAACTAACCGTGTATGTTTTATTTTGTTGTAGAAATAATGCCGCAGAACGAGTATATTGAGAAACACATCAAGGAGTGGGGAAGGAGGCTCGATTATCATGAACGTAAGAGGAAGAAGGAGGCCCGCGAGCCTCACAAGAGGGCCGAGCGGGCAAGAAAACTGCGTGGTCTCAAGGCTAAGATGTTCAACAAGGAGAGGAGGAACGAGAAGATTCAGATGAAGAAGAAAATCAAGGCACACGAAGAAAAGACAGTGAAGAAGAAGCATGAGGAAGCGAAAGAAGGAGCTCTTCCAGTGTATCTGTTAGACAGAGATGTTCAATCCAGAGCCAAGGTGCTTTCAAATATGATCAAACAGAAGAGGAAAGAGAAAGCCGGAAAGTGGGATGTACCAATACCGAAAGTGAGAGCACAGTCAGACGCTGAAGTTTTCAAAGTTCTTAAAACCGGTAAAACAAAACGCAAAGCTTGGAAAAGGATGGTCACCAAAGTTTGTTATGTAGGTGAAGGATTCACAAGAAAACCGCCAAAGTTTGAACGCTTTATCAGGCCGATGGCTCTCCGTTTCAACAAAGCTCACGTAACTCATCCAGAACTCAAGGCTACGTTTTATCTACCCATCATTGGTGTCAAGAAAAATCCGAGTTCCCCCATGTACACATCACTGGGTGTCATCACAAAGGGAACTGTAATTGAAGTGAACATCAGCGAACTTGGTCTTGTGACCCAGGGCGGGAAGGTTGTTTGGGGAAAATACGCCCAAGTTACTAACAACCCTGAGAATGATGGATGTATTAATGCTGTTCTACTTGTCTAAATGCTTTGCAAGTCAATTTTCTTCTGTTAAATAAATGAGCCACTGTTTTATATAACTTTGTTGTGTGTTTTTTTCCTTATGTAGGACTTCACATTTAATTTTCTTTTGCCATCACACTCAGTCAGTTACAATTAAACTACCTTTCAGAGTTAGGTTTTCATATGAAGAGAGACTTAGTCAAAACATCAACTGAACTTAACATAAGCAGTTGTACCAATTTTTAAAACTTATTTTCCCCAAATTAGTCAAAGTAGATTGATAAAACTAACCATTCTTGAGAAAGATATACTCAAGGAAAAAGTTTCTTTTAGGCTTATTAACCTTTGTGATATGGAATGTTACCTAAGCCTATAAATTCATTTATGTTCTTATTGAAATAATTTTAGGTTCAATAACATAACCAACTTAATTATCCACTCCAATAAAGTTAGGTTTTGCTTTATAACTGTAGGCGTATATAAGTTAGCACAGGAAGCAACGTTAATTTCACTAGTCAGATCCAGCTAGGGATGAGCATCGATAGGTCAATCATCAATGTTCACCATGGTTGGTAACATCGTTATCATCGTTGACGTTGGGTACCGATACCGTTGTCGTGAAGAGCATAAACATTAATAATCGATGTTTTTTTTTTAAAATTTTGAGTTTCTCAACTGCTTTCCATCTCAGTTAACTTATATTGACCTAGCCACTAGCTAGACGTTCTGAATTGGTAGTTTCTCTTTCACATTTGCAAGACAAAATATCGGTCTTATTTAATTGATTATGCTGAATCATGAGTGCTGCTGCTGAAATTTAATGCCAATGAATTGATTTTTTCCAGCATTTAGAACTAACTTAGTATTTTTTACTCACTCTCGCTGAACTCAACTTGTCAGTCTAGTCCAGTTGTGGTAGTTTTGGATTCGATATTTCATCAGCCTTTCAATGGAATTAATACAAAAATAAATTTCAGTTCCATGAAATCTAAATATATAAAAGGCAAAGCCCTCACTGACACACTCACTCACTCACTCATCACTAATTCTCCCACTTCCCATTTACCTAGAAGGCTGAAATTCGGTACACCGATTCTTTGGGCATTAAATAGGAAAACTGAGTAGTTTTTATTCTGATCGGGCTTTCGGGTTCCGCCCCAGTGGCTCTGGAGTTTCCCATGTTAACCTTATGATTTGTCATATTTAAAAGGAATTAATGAATCTTAACAGCTGTTTCTATTAAACAAGTTGGTTCTGTTATATGATGTTTAATAGCATTAAAGTTACAAGGATTACCAACAGGGTGCAGCACTATAATTTTTTTAATTTATGACAACAGCTAATTTGCAACCAAAAGGTGAGTGAGCGTAGCGAACGAACTTCAACCTGGAGGCGAGTTAGCGTAGCGAAGGAGCTACCCGAAGGTAAGTGAGCGCAGCGAACGATACTTATGAAGTTAAACGGGGCAAAGCCCGCGGGTACAGCTAGTCATCAATATTTTGGTAGTTGGCCAAAAACATTGATTATGACATAAACATGGATGTAACAAAAACATGGTAGCCTACCATCGTAAAAACATTAAAGATCGATAAAAAAACATTGATGCTTTGAAAATATCAGCTATCGATGCTCATCCCTAGACCCAGCTATTATGGTCAGTACTAAATCATTTCTGGTAGGAAATGATAGGAACTTAGATTTTCAAGAACAAAATATTGTGCTTGAGCAAATCATTAAAAGATTTCCTGTAATGTACCTTGGGATTACATAAGTTGTACTTCTACTAATAACAAAAGAAGAGGTGATCATTGAGCCCTAAGTTTTTTTTACAATAACACTTAAGTACCCAACTAATAATACAAGTAGCTAATCAGAATTTTAACTTTTAGGTCTTATTTCTATGAATTTGCTGCTTTACTTTAGGAGTAAAGCAGCAAATTTAAAGCCTTTTAAAACTTGTACATAAAACAATTTTATGAAAAGTGTTTTATAATTGATCATAGATTATATGAAAAACAGCAATGTTTAGTAGGTATACATATAGCCTATTATTTAAACTAGGTAGCGTTCGCAGAGGCATCCACAAAATTGAGCGGAGTCATCAAGAGTTTATGTTATATTATTTTTGTCATACTACAGTAAAACAGTCGTTTTTAATGCATGCGTTGCGGGTCTAAAGTAGCAGTTTTACTCTTAAGGGAGTAAAAATCGTTTTTTAGCCTCTATGGAGTAAGTATCAGCTGTTGTCAACTCAGTTGTAAATTTCAATTATAAACGATAGCATGTATCGAAAATATGTATCGATTCGTGCTTCATAATCATTTTTACCTACAGTTTTAAGAGATGACAACATTTGTGCGGATATAAATAATACAATAATTAGTTTGGCTACACATTGTTTTGTAGTTAAGGGGAGTAAAAACACAGAGCTGTCATTTTAGGTCTTTTCGGTAGCCTGCATTTACATTTCAAGTTTAAAACCTCTGGGGTGGTCATTAGCTTTTTCTCAAAAAGGGCGTTACAGTTCCAGCTAGTGATAATCTAGAAATCAACCCTTACAGTTTCGGATTCAACCATTTTGGCTGATTCAGTAACTGCATTAGAGGACTTCATGTGATGGTGATTATATAAGCAAAAACACAAAATATATGGCATTCTCTCAAATATGCGACCTTCATAACTACTAAAACATAACTAACCAGCCAATTATCTTAATATACTCGTTAAAAAATTGTATTTTTTACCATATTAAATATATAGATTGACTTAAAAGCAATTAAAAAAGCAATCCGGTGAGCACTACGGACTGCTCACCTTTACTACTTCCTCCAACACTTCCTACGTCACGGGCCTGTTTCCCTCCCTTCCCATAGCATTTTAGGATTACAGATACCTTAATCTAATCGTCATAAAAGTTTCCACACTCCGGACTGCTCGCCTTTACTACTTCCTTTGTCACTTCCTACGTCACGGACGTGTTACCCTCCCTTCACTTAGCATTATTGGATTGCAAATACCTTAATCTATTGATCATAAACCGATCCAAAACTCTGGACAGCTCGCCTTTATTACTTCCTTCACCATTTCCTACGTCGCGGACCTGTTTCCTTCCCTTCCAATAGCATTTTAGGATTGCATATACCTTAATCTAATCGTCATAAAAGTTTCCAGACTCCGGACAGCTCGCCTTTACTACTTCCTTCACCACTTCCTTCGTCACGGACCTGTTTTCCTCCCTTCCCATAGCATTTTAGGATTGCAGATATCTTAATCTAATCGTCACGAACGGTTCCCACAGTCCGGACTGCTCGCCTTGACTACTCCCTTCACCACTTCCTACGTCGCTGACCTGTTTTCCTTCCTTCCTATAGCATTTTAGGATTGCATATACCTTAATCTAATCGTCATAAAAGTTTCCAGACTCCGGACAGCTCGCCTTTACTACTTCCTTCACCACTTCCTTCGTCACGGACCTGTTTTCCTCCCTTCCCATAGCATTTTAGGATTGCAGATATCTTAATCTAATCGTCACGAACGGTTCCCACAGTCCGGACTGCTCGCCTTGACTACTCCCTTCACCACTTCCTACGTCGCTGACCTGTTTTCCTTCCTTCCTATAGCATTTTAGGATTGCAGATATCTTAATCTAATCGTCTTAAACAGTTCCCACACTCCGGACAGCTCGCCTTTACAACTTCCTTCACCACTTCCTACGTCACGGACCTGTTTTTCTCCCTTCCCATAGCATTTTAGGATTGCAGATACCTTAATATAATCGTCACAAACGGTTGCCACAGCCCGGACAGTCTTAAACAGTTCCCACACTCCGGACAGCTCGCCTCTACTACTTCCTTAACCACTTCCTACGTCGCGGACCTGTTTCCCTCCCTTCCTATATCATTTTAGGATTACAGATACCTGAATCTAATCGTCACAAACGGTTCCCACACTCCAGACTGCTCGCCTTTACTACTTCCTTCACTACTTCCTACGTCACGGACCTTAAGCTAGTGTCGTCATTTTATTATATTTATGATCCATACCGTTTTTGTTCTAATATCTGTGGAATAATGCTATCAGCTATTTCTTTATCTACTGTATTCAAAAGTCAACAGCTGATCATATGGCTTTGTTTATGTGTCAAATACTGCTTCCATAAGGATAACATTGAAACTTTGAGACCCAGTGGGGCGGATTCCTGAGAGACTTTTTTAACGCCATATAGATGTTGGCACTCACCGATATGTTCTTTATCACCATGCAAAATTTGAAAACGATTGATCCAGCCGTCTAGGAGGAGTTTGCGTATTACGAAATGCATAAGAGTCGACGTATAAGAGCTTCGCTCGCTTCGCTCGCTCCGCTCAATTAAGATTTTTTTCTAAACAGCTGTAAGATAAAAAAATCATAGGCCTAAATCATGACTCGAGTGAAAAACCAGCTTAGCTTGCGCATGTTAACGACGTGGCACATTAAGTCATCTGGGTGGTGAGCACTTTTTTCTTATCGACGAGCCGGAAGTATAGTTATCGTTTCTTAATATCGCTTGCAATTGTATCAACAACTTGATTGTTTATTGTACCGCTAACACCAGTAAGGAAGAAATTAACAAATAACTGAAACTAGAACGTTAATTCAATGGCCGATAAAAGATTTCCGTATGACGAACTGATATCACCCTTCCCGATGTTAAATACTGTTCTGCCGTTTTACCCTCGCATGCACACTAGTATCTTTTGATTTTGTGCATCTTTTTGTTTTGTTTTTCACTAGCCAAACAAACTGTACCTTGTGAATCTTTTTTAAATTAGTCTACTTCAGGCTATATTTAAAGCCCATTGCAAAGCACAGGCACAGCTTTTAAGTGTACTTATGAACAAATGTGAAGATAGGTATATCTTGCCAAGGGACCTTAAGTGTTTTTTACCCATGAAGTTTACACTCTTTGATCGGATCACTTTGGGTAAGTTTGCGAGTGCCCCAGTTAAATTCCACATGTTATGTTTTAAGGTACCGGTACTTTGTTATTATACGGTGGCCACTTGTTTTAGAGGGATTTTTTTTTACCAGAGACGAAAAATAACTACTATATAATAATTGGAAAGCACATACTTTATAGGCTTAATGTACAAATTTGACACGATTACAATTAGCGGCCTTTGAGTTCTGCCTCCCAGAAGGCATCGACATCGGCGAGGATTGAGTTGAATGTGTCGCCGCAGCTAGCTGCCTCATGTACTTCGCCAAGTAGGTATACAGCGCGCTGCAGCGATTATGTTAGATTGGGTGGGTTATCATGAATATGTTTGTAGGACCTTCCTCGTTTCGTTATGAATCGAACGATACCAGATGAGTCATCACTCAGGACACTGACCTTACCTTGGCCTACTTTGTCATGGAATTGGTGGGCTAAAGTATGACTCATCTAGTATCGTTTGATTCATAATTAAATGAGGAAAATCCTACAAACATATTGATGATAACTCAACCTGACATAACCGCCGCAGCGAGCTGTATAAGGGTGGCCTCCGGATAATTCTATAAAGTACCTGTATTAAATTTAATTTATCTGCTGTTTTATATTTGTTTTATTGTTTTTTTTTTAAACATGATATTTATTGTGTGGTTGCCTGCAAGGAGAAGATAAAAGACATTATGACAAGTGTCTAGTAAAGTATATGAGATTATACTATGCCGCAATGTAATTGAACGTAAGTCTGTATGGCAAGGCTAAGTTGTGTTTTGTTAAGAGTGGAATCCTATGAAATAGAACTAAATAAATAAGTTTAGGCCTACAATTACCTACAAGAACAAAGTAAACTTAACAGATCTCTGTGTTCAAGGTAATCGACTGATTCCAAGATGCAGATCTTCGTCAAGACCCTCACGGGTAAGACCATCACCCTTGAGGTCGAGCCGTCAGACACCATCGAAAATGTCAAGGCCAAGATCCAGGACAAAGAAGGTAAGATATGTTGGGCGTCAAGTTCTGAAAACTGCTATAGGCCTAAACTATTTCTCTAGTTTCAAAAAAAAAAAACTTTAAAATAATTGGTTGAACACAATAATGTAATATCTTGAAGTCTGTTTTGTTTAGGAAAACAGAAATACAGTCAAACTCAGATTCTAAAAAAAAGGTGACGTGGCGTATTCAGATAATCTATTTTTTTTTTTTATTTGGAAATCTGTTCTATGGTATCAGTTATCTTAGGTTTGGTTTAGTTGATTTAGTTAAAAGGCCTCTGGCTGTACCGATAAAAACAATATACTATGCTACTGTAGCTTAACTTTACAAAAACTGCTTTAACACCCTATTTCAAAAGTGCTGTAATATGTGAGATAAGATGGGCTTTGGGTTTACCTGTTTGATATTGGGGTCAATCTGATCAGTGGCCAAGAGTTATCATCCAAATATATGAGTTCTGAGTAGTAGAGACTGAAAGGATTAGGCCTACCTAAAATGTCGGTGAAGATTTTGAGTAAAAGGGGACGGGATGGGTTGACCTTTCTTTATAAGTATTACTGTGTGTGTGGTCAGTAGCCTACTTTTTTGTTGCTTCAAAATACAATTTAAAAAAAAAATCAATGAAATAATACCTTGTTTCAGGAATCCCTCCTGACCAGCAGAGGTTGATCTTCGCTGGCAAGCAGCTGGAGGACGGCCGCACTCTGTCTGACTACAACATCCAGAAGGAGTCCACACTCCACCTGGTGCTCAGGCTCAGGGGAGGCGCCAAGAAGCGCAAGAAGAAGAACTACTCCACTCCCAAGAAGATCAAGCACAAGAAGAAGAAGATCAAGCTGGCTGTGTTGAAATACTACAAGGTAAACTGGACACTTGACTTTTCTGATGGCTCACCAACACTTGCCTTACTTTACGACTTTTTTGACGGCTCACCAACACTTTTGCTTTACTTTCTCATGTTTGTTAGGATTCTGAACTATGAAACTGCGTTGCATTTCCATGTAGTAAAACTGTACACCAGGTATGTTTTTGAGACACTCATTTGCTGACCCTGTCTATACTTACCGAGCTGTAGACCCCTGTAGTTGGCAGGCATTGTACTTTCTGGTTTTTTAGTGTTCCACACAGAACGTCAATACCTCACACCCACCACTTTGTTAACCCCTGATGTCTTGATAGTGCATCAGACAAATCGAGATCTTATGCTGAATAAATGAACTATTAATTTAATGACTTCACACATTTGCTTTAATTTATTTTCTTATTTGCTGTCTAATCTGAACTAAACATTTTTCTTCTAATGTCGTGGCCACTTAGGGTAAAATGATTGAATCTGTCATACATCAGTCTAACATTGTCCTAAACAATAATAAATTGTAATTTGTTATTTACCGGATGAATCTATAAAACCCCACATGAATATTGAATTTGTAAATTCTGGCTTGTTAAACACCAAATAACAATTTTTAGAAGTGATTTTGTTTAGATATAAGGAAATGCGGACTTAACCTTATTTGTTAAAATAAATTATTTAATTTCCTGGGCATAAAGAATCGTTTTATGCAGCAACATGACTTCATGAAATATACCCTTTGAGGTCGATTTTTTTTTATATTCGGCGAGTATATGTTGCCATTTGAGCAGTCGGAAAAATGGCGCCCGGCGACCTATACTCGCCATTCGAACGCAAAGGGTTAACCATATGCACGCTCCTCAGCATATAGATGGATAAGGTTAGCACAATCTGCGATGCCTTGTGTTACACCCTTATCTCATGTGAAACTTAATTGCTCGGTTTAGAAATCTTGTTTAAAGGAGTAAAGTCACGGATTTGTTCAAATTTCAGCCAATAATGGTGGTTGTTGTGTGCAGGTTGATGAGAACGGTAAGATCAGTCGTCTGCGCCGGGAGTGTCCTTCAGAGCAGTGCGGCGCTGGAGTATTCATGGCTGCCATGGATGACAGACACTACTGTGGCAAGTGTAGCTACACACTCGTCTTCAGTAAACCAGAAGACAAATAAACTGTTAATTTTTATTTTATATGTATCAATAAACATGTTGATACAATATTCTTGTGTGTTATTCAAAGCCTCGTCTTTAACTACAAGGTGATGTCAGAGGACAATTTATTGTTAAAAAATAGATACCGGTGTTCAATATTTTTCAAGATCAAATTTACAATAACTATAATTATGTTAGTGCTTGGTACTCTTGATAATTTAGATGGAAAGCTGAGTGGTTATGCAGTACACTCCCGATTAACTGTGTTTCTCGGAACCGAGACCGAGTACCTCGGTTACCGAGAATCTCGGATAACACGGAGGTGTCTTAGATTTTGAGGTTACGGGTTATGATACTACCACATTAGGAAGGCAAAGACTTGTAAAGTATATGTTTTAATAATAACAATTCATAACAATTCACAGTGAATGCAAGATGATTATCAATAATTAATTGTTATTTTAATGGAAAATATATTTAAATAAAACAGTGCCATTAAGAAAACAATAACTTAAACATGCTTGATACTACAACAATTTTATTGGAAAATTGAAAATACAGTATTATAAAAAACTAGTGCACCTGTTGCTCGAAGATGGATCCCTAAAGTTTTTAAAGTATACAATTATTTTTTTTTTGAGCTTGACTTCAACTATACTTGACCCAATCATGTCAATATAAAATAAAAACATTGTAATGACAACCACTGACAAAAGGCGAAACAAGGCAGCAATCCTCGAGCAGAAATGCTAATGCTTCGGTTGGCGTTCTGCAGACGAATCGTCCAGCTAACCAAAAATGGTTAGTAGCCAAAACAAGTACTATGATTTTCATTTTCTAGGTTATTATTGCAATTCTAGATCATTAGTAGCCTATAGTTAAAATAATACCTATAATCATTATTTAAATTATTCATTTTAAGAAATAACAAATTACTTCCTATTAATACTTTACTTTCAACAGAAACATTCCCTATAACCTAATTATTGTTTTCCGACTGGAAATAAAAAATATATATATCTAGGCCTACAACAACCTCGGAAGCTAGGCTCAGATAATCGAGAGTGTACTGTAGTGCTTGCCTAGCCTTCATAAGGTTGTCAGTTCAAGAGAAAATTTGTTCACTTTTTATGGTTTTAAACTGGACCCAGCTGTCCTTGCATTGGGCTCTTAATAGTATATTATGTTACTAGCCTGGTAAGTGGTGAGCCTAGTGCGGGATTTTCGTGCGAGTACGTTAAAGGTTACCGGGCGAGTAACGTACGATACTTTACATCATAATACACAGAATAATTAGTAAATTTTAAACGCATAACATAAATTATAATATTTTATATTACAGAAAAATAAAAAGGTCGTTGCAGTTAGCTGTTTATTTCATCAGCTGACTAAGTGCACGGTAAAAGTAAAAGTACATAAGTTACTTTTCCGTGTTTAGGCACGGTAAAGGGCAACTTTCCAGCCTATCAATACGGATGGAAAAGTACCTGTTTCTGTGTAGTATGATGTAATAGTACATTACGTTACTAGTCCTGAAAATAGGTGTTTACCGGACAAGTGTTTCGTCGAGTGCGGGATTACCATACGAGTACGGTAAAAACATTTTGGATGAGTTACGTACGATATTTTTCGCCATTACTACCCTAATACATATTAATAAAATTTGTCTACTATTTAAGGAAAAGTGTTCACTATCACGCATAACCTCTCAGACTCAGAGAGGTTATGTTTTTGTTTGTCTTGTTCTTAGTGACTAATAACGGCAACAATTACTAGGCCTTCTCAATAACTAAAAATATAGACCTAATACAACCAGCTGATTGGTGTCCGGTAAAACTCATTACAGTACAGTATTACGTAATGAAACCCCATTTGATTGAGCAGGCGGCAAACAGCTGTTTTCCGGACTAAATCCTTACTTGGGAAGTTCTTTAAAACAGCGTAGTGTGGCAAAAAAATATTGTCCTCATACATATCAACCTAAACCACAAACTTGAATGAAAGGTCTTGATGAGGAATGCTTGACAAGTTTTTGAACCGTCTTTTATGGACTTTGAACACATTAAAGGGATGTTTTTAATGTATTATTTAAAATTTGAATCTGGTTCAGCATAACAAACAACATTTACATTTACAGTTGAGCTGAGATGCTGCATGCGGTACAACCCATCAAATGCAACACGGCAGAAAACTGTGCCGCCATGTTTCCCTAAGGAGGCGTGTAGTGGGGATGAGCATCAATAGGTCAACCATGATGGTAAACTCGGTAGCAATCATTGATAACATTGCCGCGTAAACATTGGTGTTTTCAGTGCAAAAACATCAATAACTGATGTCTTTTAATTAAAATTCATACAATTCAGTTACAAAATTCATTCAGTAACCTACCATTGATGTAAAAAACATCTAACATTGATATAAAATATTGTGTATATGTGTCCGTCACACACAGCGGCCGCCAGCATATCACAGCTTGTACCACAGAAAAAGAAAGATTTTACGTCACATCCCTGGGATGGCAAACCAGGGTCAAGATGGCAAGCAGGGGCGACCAAAACTCTAACTTAAAAAAGTAATATGAATCAAGTATTAGGGATAACTAACAACAGTAAATAGATTTTAAGTAAAATAAATGTATCTCCGATAACTTCAGTTTGGTTGGAATAGTGCATTATTGAGATGTTGCGCAATTGTCTGTGCTGTATATGTTACCGCAAAGATGTGAAGGAGCATGATCGGACTATTGGAAAAAGATGTTATTGTGGGGTCATAGAATTTGAAATCAGTTTTTCTAATTTTTGACCCTCTAGACACAATATTCCTCAATTTTACTTAAAATAATTTTTAGTGCTTAAAACACAAAACAGTGAGGTATACCGAAGATTTACGTACAGTTACTGAACATTTTAAACTGTCATAATATTCTTAGGGAGACAACAGTTGTAGTTGTTTTTTTGTTGTTATATTTTGAAAAAAAAAGTTTACCGCACAATTAGCTATTACTATTTCTACAAACCAAATGTCATTGAAATAGGGAAACACTCAATTCCCATATCGGGACTCGGAGGAGTTTCTACTATCGTCACTCTTGGCCACTGTGTATTGTGTTTTAAGTGCACCTCAACAAGCTCTAGTCAAACATTCCTGGGCTGCGTTTCTTGGGCTGCAAAACTTGACTGGGTGTATTGTGTTGTGAGCGTATCAGCATACACCCAGCCTTTTACTTTCTTGTTCCAGCCTGACCTTCAGGCAACATCTAACAATAATCAATTATTACAATTGGCAATTATTGATTTGCTAATGTTTGTAGTGACCAAAACCAGCACTGACAAACGAATAATCTACTGGCGGTCACACTAGAAAATAGAAATTGCAAGTGTTAACCCAATGTCATCTGATGTAGCTCCAACCATTATTGTAGATAGAGCAGAACATCTTATGTTTTTTAATGAGAAACATACTGGTTTTGAAGAAATAAGTAGTAGACATACTGTCCATCCAGGAACTGATTCCCTTCCTTTATCCATACTTAGGGATTACCCTACGTCGCAGAAGGGTTTACTTACATGTTTGCTCAAACGCTACAGTTTAATACTTTAAAGTCTCAATTCACAAATTTTATAGTGCAAATTCGGCAATCCAGGACGGAATCGGCTCTCTCCGTTGGAGTAAAAATGATTTTCGAACATATTGTAATACATTGGTACACTATGGTGCTCGATTAAAATCGATAGAGAATAACCAGGTTTATTCTTCATGCAGATAACTATTGTAGTTGATCACTTGGCAGATGATAATGATGCACCAGCATTTTCTACCATGAAAAGTTAATGTCGACCAATGTACAGATAAATAATAACATTGACTATACACCTCTACCTCTAGAGGTGTATAGTCTAGTCAATGATAATAAGTATCAAGGATGTCTAAACGACTAAGCAGCTATTCAATGTTGACGACTGACGTTGTTCATAGATAAGTCTTATAAACTGTGTTCCCATCATAATCATATCCTTTGGAGTATTATTGAAGTCACTCTCTGTGATGGCCCTGTCATGTATAATTTTTTTGTCTACTATATTTATTATGTAATAGAGGTACCTTCATAAAACTTTTTTTACAGAGGTTGTTGCAGCATTATTACTTAGATAAAATCCATTGGTGAAATGGCGGGATTTGAACCTGGGACTGAAGTCCGGCCCTCTAACCCCAAGCCCATTAAGAGGCAGTGGAACCCTGGGCAAACCCAAAAGCAGCGCCCCCTTTTTTTCTAGTGTGGGCGCACACGGTGGGCGCCCCCAAACCTCCGGCGCCCCTGGGCATATGCCCAGTTTGCCCGTTTATAAAAGTGGGCCTGACCACAAGACCAACTCGCTACCCATAAAATATTAAGTATCATAAATCATAGTTTAATGATATACAGGGTGTTCATTTGAAAACTTTCCATATCTGTTGTGTGCAAAGGTAAGGCTTTTAACACTTGTTTGTTCTCAATTCCCACTAATTTGGACATGCCAAATCCAATAAAATTATTTTCAATTTTGAAAAATGCCCCAAAAGGGCCCAATTTGGGGGGTAGGGGTGCTTTTTGAGAAATTTTCAAATGTAAACATGGGTTGTGTGATACATCAATTTAAAGCTCTAATCACCCCGATCATTTTGGTGTAAAAAAAGTTTAATTATCTTTAACCGTATTTACAGGGTGGGTCAAAACGTTTTAAAAAAGGACTTTAAAGTCGAGTACCGTATTACCCTAACTACTGAACGGAACAGCGCCAAATTTCTTTCCAAGCTTATTCTTGAGCTACTCTTTAAGATAACTTGTAGTAAGGGCATTTTCCAAGTTATTATCTAATTTTAAAAAAATCTCAAATTTTAAGAATAAAAGAAAGCTGAAAACTAAAAATTCTTAAATAGCAAGGTATGACAAATTCCATACCACGTGAAAGGTCCTTTTTTAACAAACATTTTACGTATTTAAGTTTTCTTTCTATCTCTTACCGTTTAAAAATTGCAGTAGAAAAACAGAATTTTCTATGGTAAAATTGTAACTAGTTTTCTAATAAAA